ATTTATTTACCAAGCTTAGCTTCAAAAAATCCAAGTGTAAATGGATGCAGAAAAAATACTTAATAATTTTTCCAAGGAGAGATAACCTACTTTGAAAATCAGCTTTCGAAAACCTGCTTTCTTTTTTTTTTTTTTTTAGATAACCTTGAACACCGACTAATAAATTGGCAGGAAGTTGTGAAGAACTATGATCCCCGATGTCTTGAAGGCGCGCTATAGATAGAAAAAGAAGTAGTCTAGATGGATACAGAAAAATACTGCTCAGTTCTTCCAAGGAGATATAGCCAGCTTTGAAAATCAGCGTTCGTAAACCTGGTTTTTAGATAGTCTCGAACACCGGCTAATACATTCATAACTTTCTCGCCTTTAAGGAAGTACTTCTAATTTAATTTTTTTATGAAAGAAAAAATGAGCAGGAAGTTGTAGAGAGCTATGATCGACTAAGTCCTGAAGAGGTGCAGCACGTAGAAGAAGAAGAAGAAGAAAAAGAAGAAGAAGAAGAAGAAGGGAGAAATATTGTTCATCACTGGCTTAAGGTAGACAGTTGCAATATTCAAAAATATATCTTGGCGTCTGATCAGTTCTGCGATGAAACAGAATGGGTAACTATCACAGAATCCTTGCTTGCAGCAATGTGCAAATGTTCCCATCCGTCCAAGCTGCATCACTTTTAGATGGTCTGGAATAATCTAAAAGCGTTCAACTAAAAAAAGAACGGAAAGTTCAATTAGGCAGTCTTTTACTATCGATAATTATATGAATAGTGCAGAAGAGGAGGACCAATTACGATGAAAAGATAAGACATCGACTGGGATGACGCCAGAGAGAAATAATAGAAACCTATACATCAATGATAGGTAGATACTGTAGACAAGGCGAAATTAGAAGGAAACTAATAAAGATAATATATTTAGATATATTATTACTTAAACGTTATTTTAAGTGAATACCCATATTTGAGAAAAACGTTAGAAAGTTTACTTGTGTCTGTGACAGAATGAGATAAGAAGCATTACAAAGCGTATCCAAATGTAAACAAATGACGTCACACATTATGAAATGGACAAAGTCCGACAATTAAAAATGTCTTAAAATAATTGTCGGACTTTTGTCATTTATATATATATATATATATATATATATATATATATATATATATATATATATATATAGATATATATTAGTGGAAAATATACATACATATGAAAAATATATCTAAAAAATTCCCATACATGTATATTTTCAGAAAAAAAATTTCAAGAGGAAGGATCCAGGTAGAACTCAATGTCTAGGACAGAGTAAGGATATAATAAAAGGCTCAAACACTAATATTCCATGGAATATTAGTGTTTAAGCTTTTATTATATATATATATATATATATATATATATATATATATATATATATATATATATATATATATATATATATATATATATATATATATATATATATATATATATATATATATATATATATATATATTATGTACGTATAGTGCGGATATTTCAAAAAGGATATAAATCCATGGAAAGCTCTATGTTAGAAACAGAGTAATAATTATTATTAAAACGGCACAAACACTTAAAATCTCATGAGGTCGTTAGGGTCGTAAAAAACAGTGCCAATTTATCGGACCTTCAAATCCAAAAGACTACTACTACTACAAATAATATTATATATATATATATATATATATATATATATATATATATAATTTTCGGTATGTCAGTGTATGAGAGTGAACTTCCGTGTTTAATCATGCGTTTGTGTATACATGATATATATATATATATAAACATCTTTCGGTCTACACTACACTTATTTCATCTTAGTGTTTTGCCTTTATAAGGAAAAAAAAAATGACACTGAGATGACAATTTGAAATTGTCGAAAGTACTTGGCTCGTCAAATCTGATAACAACTCAAATATACAACAACTCAACTATAAGGATCGTATTATTCAAATAATTGATAGTAAGTTAATATCTCATTAATCAATACATTTATTTATTTTTGTCTACCAGCCTGAATATTTGAGAAATATTACTGAAGAAAAATATGCCCCACACAGCAGAATCCGAACCTGCGTCCCACTTGAGTTCTTTTTATTTTAAGGATGCTTTTTGTAAAAAAACAAAAAAAACATTTCACCACAAGTAAGGGGATAAAGCTACTAAGACGGAAGGAAGGTAATTACAGTGAAAGAAACTGAGACAACGTTATTAAGTACAAAGGACAATAAAAGAACATAATTAAGAAAGACAGAAGATAACGATTAACGTCACATATACACATACAAGGTGTAACAGCAAAATTGCTTAATTGTTAGTTTAAGCTCTGAAATGTTGTATCTTAGAAATGATTAAAGATATCTTACTGGAATTCTCCGAGGTCTTTATAACACGACTGGACTCTACTTCGAGCAATAAGAACAGTGTCTTATAAACAGCCAAGTTGAACAGAGTCTTATAAACGCAAATCTTTTGCCGATTCTCGAAAGCATTCATATCATACTACAGATTTTATGACTCTAAGTTTATTTTTAGAGGACGCTCTTATATAAGTAAACGCCCCGTTTATTTTTAAACTGTATCTATATCTATATATATATTATGAAATGGACAAAGTCCGACAATTATTTTTTAAGACATTTTTTATGTTTATATGTTCTTTTTATAGATACGAATATTTTTATAATCTGTGGCTGAATCGGTTAAGACACGTCAGGCTATATGACGGTTCCTTATAGGGTACAGGTTCGATTCCTGTCGGAGGACGCATAATTTCTATGAAAATTCCTCGGGCATTCAGGCCGGTAAATGTCGTTAATACTGTTTATTATAAACAGAGCATTTACTTAAATATTTTACCTATAAAAAGGACTTATGAACATAAAAAATGTCTTAATATATATATATATATATATATATATATATATATAACTTCCGTTCGTTCGCCGATTGAACACTATGGAGAAAGGGAATTTTTAGCAGCTGCTCCTCCTGCTTAAGATTTAGCTCTTCGCCCGAATTGAGCGGTCTGTTGCTGGTCTAGCGTTTATACACATCACGTATATAATACGTTAAAATATTCTCTTTCTCTGGCGTGCGCCGATTGCTTAGGAGGTAGAGCCTCTGATTGAAGTCAAATCAGTCGAGTTTCGATCTCGGCTTAAAGCAATCGGATCTCTAGTCACACTGATAGGCCTTGATACAGCAAAACAGGCTCTATAGACATTTCAACACCTCTCGTCTCTCT